GACAGTTCAGTTTAGCCCCAAACTGATCTTCAGGAGGAGCAAATCTACCTCCACAGTGAGAATGAAAGCCAGCAGGCCTCGCTGGAGTGGTGGTACATGTCTGTGTATCCCAGCACTCAGGTGGCTGAGGCAGGAGGATCGCTATGAGTTTGAGGCTATCTAGTGAGTTCAAGGCCAGCCTGAACTGCATAGTGAGACTCTGTCTCAAAAACCAGCCAAACCAAATCAAACAAACCATCAGGCCCAAAGGACACAGGAAAGTGAGAGAAACACACATTATTCTCTGTGGAGACTGAGTGTAAGGACAACGCACCCAGGTTTTTTTTTTTTTTGAAGCTGAGAGATGAGGCTGTTTTTAATTATTCACTTTTGGAAACTTGGAGGCTCCCTTCTGAACCAAACTCTCAACTTAAGTAGAATTTTGTGCTTTTAAAACATTGACGACTTTTTTCCTTCTTTTTTTTTTTTTGATACTACAGCTTTTCAAATGATTTGACTGTGAGTAACTCTAATTTAGAATTGCTTGTGAGTTCTTGGCAGTCGGGATGCATATTTAGAAATCTCTGCGAAGTGAGAAAAATCTAACTTACAAATTGTTTGCAAATGTAATACAAAAATCATGAGCCCTAAATATACAATTAGTGAGGCTGATGTGACGTTGTTTCCTAGACTTTTGTCTAAACGTTCACTAATTTCTACTTTGCAGTTTGTGCATTTCGTATTTGGGAGTCAGGAGGGTTTTTAAATTTTTTATTTTTTTAAATTTCAGCTCTCAAACATTCTCGCAGGCCCTGAGCATTCTGCCTACAGTGCCTAATAGAGAAAATGGCCCTGCTCAGGAAAACCTAGGGTGAAAAAGACCAATGAAATGAAGTAAGGGTGTCAGTGGGTATGGTTTCCTGATAACGCACAGCGATCGTGTCCTCCCTCCACCGAATTCCTGCAGAGCAGCCACAGGAACAGGCTGGGGCAGAGCTGTAAGCCCTGGCAGCAGCACTGCGCATGCGTGTTCAGTGCACAGCCTTGCAGCAAAGCTCAGGCAGCTCACAGTGAGCTCCGAGAACGGAAAGCAAAAGGAGGGCGGGCAGCTGGGCTTGGAGCCTCCACGCCGCTAGGCACCGTGGCAGGTGTTCTCTGCATATCGCTCCATTTGATTCTCCCTTGGCGGGAAACACGGTTACCCATTCTTCCAAAGCAGAGAGGGGCTGTGACTCGCCAAAAGACACACAGCTCTGAGGACCCAGAACCAGCCACGCTGTGGCCCTGCTTCACTGAGGGGCTCTGTGGGCCCCCTGCTGACCTCGGAAGTGGTGTCTGTGTCAGGGTGACAGCCAGACGCAGCAGGGTGGGTGGAGGTTGGAGTTTCCCAGATAGCAAAGCTGAAATGACACTTTGACAGAATTCACTTTTTTTTTTTAACTTAGATGATTCATTGGTGGAAAAAAACTGTAGTGAATAAAACTTCAGAAGCCCACGGTCTGCAGTAACACCGAGGGAATTTTGAACGATGGAAAGTCCCGAGTCACAATCAGATTGGGACACTTCCAAACGAACTTCAGGGTCCCTTTATAGTATTTCTCAGTGTAATGCTGGATCACCTCCCACTGAGTCAAATGTAGATCGCTGGTCTGCAGGACCTACTGCGTGAGAATCTGGGGGGAGGCCCTGGGGGAGACAGACCTCCTCCACCTCTGGGTGATTCGTGTGCATTAACATTCTAAACCTATACTTGAGGGATTCGGAACAAGGTGCCCTGCCTGCTCATTTTCTTGTTGAGTAGCTTTTGAGGACAACAGCTTAAACCACCAGGAACATCCAGTTCCAGGTGTGCTACCATCTCACGGATGAGAAATTAGGACAGAGCTTGAGCAAGTGAGAAGAGAAAACTAGTTGAAAGAGAAAAGAAGCGAATTGCTTTTATTTGCCAACTCGGTAAAACTGCTAAAAGTAAACTTGAACATAAAGCCAAACAACAAAAGGGACACCATCTGTAATACTGCACTGAGACGACCTCTTGGGGTCCTGGCTTTGGGCATCGGTATGGATCCCAGCCCCTGAGAAGGAGCTATGTAAGAGAGATGGCAGGAGGGTTTAAAGCAGTTAGTGGTACCTGGAAGGTTAAAATCGCCACTTGCAGCTAAATCATTTCTGCTAGGAAAGGAAGGAAATACCAGAAGGATGGAGGAAAGAAGGCGGGAGAGAGAGGAAGGAGGAGATGAGGGACAAAGGATGGAAGGCAGAAGTGAAGGCAAGAAGGAAAATGGGAATGGAGGAGAGGAAGGAAAAGAAGGAGAAGGAAAAGGAGGAGGAGAAAAAGAGGAGCGTGAGTGTGACCTGGTGGCCCAGGGACAGTGGGCGGGGCCTACCTGTTTAGGCCCCCAGAGCACTTAGATGCCCTGGAGGGGAATCCAGGGTATCATGGAGAGCACCTGCACTTGGCAGGGAAGGAGCTAGGACCAGCCCTCTGCCCCTCCATCACAGCCACAATGCCACGCAAGACCTCAGCTGCCCCCGGCTCCTGTCCCAGGCATCACCTGTGCTTCTGCTCTGCCAGTGTCCCCTGCAAGGTGGCACAGTCCATTCTGGAAGTTGGCTGGCAGTGGCACCGGCCTGCCTTTTGCTACACAAAATGTTCCCCTGAGCACAGACTTAAGAAAACAGCACACAGAGAGTGTGAGTGCCTGACAGTCACCCCAGCAGCCCAGCCCTTGGATGTCAACCCAAGGGAAGGTGGGTCAAAGTCTCTGCCCTCGGACGCTGTGAGAGCCCAGGAGAAACAGCGCTGTGTGGTTACAGCACACACGACAGAAAGAAGTCTGAAGTTTCAGACTTCTCGGACTTGGATCTGAAAAGGTTGAGTCTAAAAAGGAAAACATGCCAGCTTCCTGCCAAAATAAACTGTGACGAAAGTTTGGGCCCCCCACCTTTCAGCCAAGCATTTCCTGTTCTGGCCTCCCCCCGTCTGCCTCATACCAGCTCAGCCCAGGGAGGGTGAGCTATTTTTAAGGTGCAAGCAACCAAAACTAAGAATGAGATACTTATTTATAGTTACACCTTGCAACTGTTCTTCTCCCCTCTCCATGTGAAATCCCTGGGGAAGGAAGGACTTTGAAAGGTCAAGGGCTCAGTGGTCTGGCCAGGACTGCTACCCCAAGAAATGCAGATTGGAAAGATACTCAGCAGTTCCCGAAGGATGTACTCAGGTTGTGTGCCCTTGAGAAGTGTTTAGGTTAGGCGTATTTTTTTTTTTTTGTATAAAAGGTAATTAGACATGTATTCATGGTTTTGTTATTGAAAGAAATCCAACAATAAATCTACACCCCCCCCAACAATACATTCTCGTATCATGGATGTAGGTATTTCCTAAGTGACACGGGTTTGTAAATTCAGACTTTGTATTAGATTTACCTGAGGCAAAGCATATCTACATTTAGCATCCTGAGAGCCAACAAGCTTTTTATGGTATCCAACTCCATCCTTTTTGTTATAATTTTGAGTTAATTTCTTATTCTATTAAATGAAGCCATTCTTAATACCAAATTTAGCAGGACCCACTGGAAACTTACTAGTAAAGGATAAAACCTCCTTTGTAACGTGCACAGAAGCACTATCTTGGTTTTGGACACTGTCCCCCTAATTTTCGTCTTTGCATGGGTATCTACCTGACACTATAGTATTTTATACCATAGCCCCTCTGATTCAGAGGTTTTTTTTTTTCTGGTGCCAAGGATCACAGGGATCGAACTCATGACCTTGTGCTTGCCAGGCAGGTGCTTAAGCCACTGAGCTAAATCCCCAGCCCCACTATTATATTCTAATGTAAAGCACTGTGAGGGTTTAGTTCACTCTTCAACTCATCACTGTATCCCTAGCAACAAAACTGTCCTAGATGTTCACCATTCATGATTTCACACATTGCTATTTACCTTAAATTGTTATAGTATTGGGGATTATAAACACTACAGATGAGCACCCCACCTGCTAAAGCTTGAGTGTGGTCTGAGTGTCCTCTAAGGGTCTTCTGTAATTAAAGGTCCGGGCTCAGGGTGGTGCTGTGGGGATGTGGGGCCTGGCAGGAGATGCCAGGTCACCAGGGGCATGTCCTTGGAAAGGACTGTGACCCATCCTCTCTCTGACTTCCTGATATAAGCTCTGTCACAGACATGCATCTTCACAGTGACGTGACTTGAAGCTGGGAGAGCGTTTGTCAAAAGTGAGCCAATGCCAGTGCCATGCCAACGAATAGAAAACATTTGACTTTAATAAACATTATCTCTTTATAAAGTTAACTGCTTTGGGTATTTGGTTATAGTGATGAAAAGCTTACACACCCTTTCTTTTTGCTTTTTTTTTTTTTTTAAACTTGAAGTCTTCCTAAATATCCAATCTCCACTATTTCCACCCTCTGCTTTGGGTTAAATTATTATAAGAAATATTTCAAGCACATTGGCTCCTTTTCAAATTCCTTACTATATGTTTTGTAGATGAGTTAAACTTTAAGTTTACGATCTTAAGGAATGAGTTTGTGGGCATGAGCTTTGCTCAGTTTTGATCTCCCTCTATTTTTGGTAGGTTCTTTGTCCAGCCATGGCAATGGGTCATGATTCAGCTTTTGGCCAATGGGGATCCTTGTTGTATCATTGTGTTTATATAAATTTGGTGCTTTGTATCACTCAAGAAGAAACAGAAGCGACTGGAAGCTATTTGAGCACAGAAGTCAGGTCTAGAAACACATGTATCAGAAAGAGGGACAATAAATAATGTATGGCCCAGTGTGATCCAGAATGACACAGGAACTTTAACTATGGATAAACGGGACTTGACACATACAGAGTTTAGTTGATTGATGGAAGGGAAAATGATACAAAAATGATGCCTGAGTTAGAGCACTTGGTATATTTACATTTTGGCAGCTTACGGTACTGTTTTGGGAACATTTCTACTGTTCCAAATATAATACAGAAAAATAAGTAGGAGTAGAATTCCAGTTAGTCACTTACCTTTTTATTTAAGTGGGGGCCGTTGGTGCCCCCAGTGCTTCTCTGTGATGGTGGCACTTGATACACATCTTGTTCTTGGGCAGCGTGGCCAGTGGGTACTTGGTAAATTCCCTGATTCTGGTAGGAAGGTGGCACTTGGTAGACAGTGTCACGAGATGCCGCCGCTGCCTGTGAGTTTGGCACTTGGTAGAGCATCTGTGGGCTGAAGGTCTGATGCATGGGTCCAGAAATAGGCTGTTCGTGATTGGAGGGGCTGTCCTGTACGGGACCAATCAGAAGCTTCACCCTGTTGCCAGGGACAATGCCTTGCCGACCGTGGAGGGAGCACAGCCACCATCCTTCCAGTCCCCCAGTATTCTGCTCAATGACAGTCAGGATGTCTCCCTTGCGAAAGGCCAGCTCCTCGGCACATTCTGGAACATTGTCATATAAGGCCCTTGCCATAAGATTCTAGGAAGGAAAGAACAGACAGAAACAGTGTTAGAATGTTACCCCAGTCCCAGCAACACCTAGCACCCAAACTCTCAGGGAGAGGAACACTTCCTGGAAAAAGCAAAGAGAAGTCTGAACAATAGCCTATGAGGAGAAAAACAGATGGTGCAGACAAAAGACAGATACATGCATACTGCGTCTGCCACCAATGACATCAGACTGCCTCCTTGGAAAACCTCAAAACACCAGAAGAGTTTTTTCCTCCAGTAGTTGACGCTGTGCCAAGGAATTATGAGTAGCTGCTAAAGAGTTAGCGAACGGTTCACTACGCAAAAACAGTTTTGTTCCTTTAAAAGTGAGCTTGAGGGGAGAAACTATTCCAAGCTGTTCACATGCACCACAATGGGCGTTTCTATTTTTTTTTTTTTTTCGTACATAGAGGTAAAAAGACTCAAAGAAAATCCCAAGTAACACACTGTAAATGGCATTCATATTCAGTGTTGAAATACAAACAGAAGTCTATGTATATGTGCGTTGGCGGGGCTTAAGGAACCTTGTTTCTGGTAATCACGAGGCCTTTGGACCTGCGAGGAATGCCAAGCGAGACATACAGAAGTGGTGAGATGACGGAGCACCGACACAGTGTGACAGTGGCTGGTGTCTCCAGATGTGACAGCAGGGAGCCAAGGCTGATGCCAACTCTCTCTCCTTTGGGTTTTACGCGTGCCTCTCCCGAGGCCTTTCCTCATCCTGCCACTTTATCACCTACTTTTTGCATCTCGCCATTCACATCTGAAAGACTCTGCTCCCCCTCTCATGGGCCCGAGACACTCTCTGCCTTTGTGTGAAGGCCCGTCTGCACATTCAGTACTGAGCAGGCAGCCAAAGTAGGCATGAAAAGCGGAGTGGGCAGGCGGGACGTGCTGACATTCCTGGAAGGCTTTCAAAGGCTCTGCAGACTGCATTTCTTGGCCTCAGGAACGTCTCCCAGCACGCGGGCTGCCGTTCCCGCACGCCTGCCCCCTTCCCGCTGCACGGAGCAGTCAGGCAACCTTGTAAATTCGTCGCAGGCACTCGGAAAATGAAAAGCGATCTCTCGAGCGCTTCGTTAAATGTCTTGGATGCACTTCATGGCGTTGCGGTCATGTATGAAGAAAGTGCTGCCGACGGGCTGGAGCGGGCTTGTGACTTTATCACACAGGACCATACAGTCCTGGTGGAATCTGGGGCTGTCGTTTCTTGTTTGTTTGTTTGGAATTTGCCCCCCCCCCCTCCGGTTTCTTGTCTTGAAATGAGGGCTGGCTCTTTCAGCCTCATGTTTTTCATTTCTTTAAAATGGACACATTTTAACTGTGCTCTGCCCTTAACCCCAGGACTGCACTGTGGGCTGTTCTGTGCTATGCAGGGGCTGGCTGTGTGCGGGGTCCACCCTCTGCTCACGCTTGGGAAGAGGCCCAATTCCACTACGGTTCCCCCGGACCCTTATAAGTCACTGTGGCTACTTCATGTAAGGAAGAGCGACAGAGCCCCAAGGGTCAGTCCTGGGAAGCTTGTGGTGTGATGGACTCCGGGAAGCGGGGGGCAGTCCTCAGGGCTGTGACATGCTGGGACTGTGTCCTAACAGCTCAACTCAAAGGAAACTGAGGAGTCTGCATTTTAGGTGAAAGCTTTCCTTAGTAGTTAGATTCCAGGAAGCCCTGGAATCCCTCTATTCTAACCAGCAAAAACATTCACATTCAGAAAGATACAAAGGTAACAGCCTATCCTGGTTGGCGGAATCATTTCAGGGTGTGTCACGATCCTAAAAATTTCCTGTTCCTCTTCCATCTTTGGGCATTCTGTATTTTAAAAGAAAGGCCATAGTTACAGAGGACGAAGTTCTGGTCCTTTGCACCGAAATGATCTCAGGGAAGCAGTTCCAGCCAGCTTGTACTGTGACAGGAGAGACAGAAAAGCACTGGTCGTTCTGGTCTCTGTGCCTTTCTCCTGGGCCCATTCATAAGAATTGGGAATGGTTGGTAAGGGAGTCCCTAGAGGAAATCAGAGGTCACCAGGGCCAGGAATATGGGTGCCAAGGGCTGATAGCTGTGCAACTGTCTTGGCTACAGAGAAGGGAAAGAAAAGAAACAGAAACCAGTGGACAGGCAAAGGGCTGTAGACCCAATCAGCAGAAATCAGGAGAGGCATTTGGAGTTGGGTCACTTCCAGATTTTGCTGAACGCCACAGGCACTGAGGAGAGCGCCAGACTGGGCTTGATTAGAGGCAGATAGAAATCCCTGTGAGTCCTGCTGGAGGCTCTTTGTCTCCTGTCCCAGTAACCTGCCTCCCGGGAAGCTGCATACTTCTGTGTCTATAGGAGCCTCAGAAGCTGCTCCTGGTTGGTGCATCGCAGGGCCCTTTGTTCTCAGTGGTGACTCCCTGTAGCTGTCACCACTGTCTAGAGAGCCACATGCAGAAAGGGCTTGAGGTGGCTGCTGATGGCAGGAAGCCATGGCCCCTGCCAGACACCAGTTCACACTGTGGATGGTCATCCTCAGTTCTGGTGTTATTTAACCAGAGAAGAAATGTCTACACTGAGCCACCCTTTGCTAGATGTTTAAGTGAGTTGATGTAACAGAAGGGCCTCAACACTGCAGGAGACTCAGCAGGCTCTGAGGGGCTCTTATCTTATTTCCTTTGCTGGATGGCCCTGGGCTCCAGGCTTCCCGCTGACTGCCTCCTCTCACTTCTCAGTTAAGAACTAGGGGTGCTATTATGTGTATCCCTACAATCAACAATAATGAAACCACAGGTTGCAAGCGAGAGACTTTCAGAGGCAAAGTAATAGTAACAATGAATAGTAACAATTACTAGAGAGTAGTGTGACTTATGAAGCTCAGTTTTTGAAATACTTGGTGTTGGGTCAAGAGCTCAGGAAGAAGGTAAAACACTAATCTGCTTCACCTGACACACAGATGATCCCTTTTAAGAATGCACTAACTCCTAACTAGGCAGCTGGAGAGTTAATTCTCCCACCAAAGAGGAAAGGAGGGATGTTCTCCATTAGAGCAAAGGTGTGACTCCTTCAGCCATAAAGTCAGGAGCTGATTATCTGAGTATCTTAGAAAAACCCCAGAGATGTAGTTTTTCTGTTCAAGATCTACTCTTTCTCAACCTCCCAGACCCTTAAATATTTATCTCCAGTGGAGGAAAGGTCAACACAGAAACAAATCAAGGAGAGATAAGAAAGCTATGCAATTCTATCCACCCCTGGAGGTGAGCCTCCAGAGATTGGCAGTTAGAGAAGCAGCCAGGGCAGACTGCTTAGGGTAGGGCACAGGAGGACCTGAAAGCTGGAAGGAACCTGAGACAATTAGAGTCCAAGTCTTTAACTTCACCAATAAGAAAACGGAGGCTCAGAAGTTAATGAATTGCTAACTTACCGTACAAAAAGGTCTGAGGGCTGGGATAAGTAGCCAGGCCTCCTACTTCCAAGCTCAGAATTAGGACTGCATTTTTTTGAAGTCAAATACACATGGCTATAAAAGTGGTTGCTCCGTTCAGGGCTGGACATTGGTATCTAGGGTCATGAACCCCATGCAGCCTGGGTCCCCACATCAAGTTTTCTAAAGGCTCTTTTGGCTTTCCTGGTACCCCTGTCTGGCTCTCCTTCTTGGTTTGCATCTCCCTTCTCCTTCACAGACGATTTCCCTCCACCTCTTACATGATCACATCCCAAGGAATCTCTCTTTGCACCTTTCTCCGCCCTCCTGCCTGCTCTATAGGAAATCTCATCTCTGCAAACCATCAGGATACTGATATACCTAAGTCCACATTCCCCTCTCAAGTTGCCTAACTAAAGGGCACCTAACAGAGCTCTTCAGTTAGATCTTTAGTCGTATGGTCTGTAACTCACCATTTGCAAACAGCTTCTGTCTGGCTTGAGCTCTCTCTGTTAATACAGCATGCAGCCGCCCAGGGCGGGGCAGGGCAGGAGCCTGAGGTTGTTTGAGTCTCTCTTCAACTTGAAACCCATGGGCAGGCAGGCACTGCATGCCCTCATACTGCCACTCCTCCTCAGCCTCTTTTTGCAGCCCTTTCTTCAGCATAGAAATTGCTCCCCACTTGGTTCTCTTGAATTTAACCTCTTCTTGCTAAAAACCTATCTTCTCTATAACCACAAGGGTTATCTTTCTAAAATCTACCTGGTTGTTTGTCTTTCTCTGCAGCATGGCTTGGATCGCCCCACTCAAGGCTGTGCAACTCTTTCAGGTCAGGGCTGCTGTCGAATTCCTTTCACAGTTCCAGAACTTTAGCCCAGTGTCTGAAACAAAAGACACACTCCTGCCATGTCTGCTAAGTCGAAATGGATTCTGGCCTCTGATTTCCTGGTTCCCCACAGGAAGGCTGAAACTTTTTCTAGAGAATTCAGCAAGACATTTGGTTAAAGATTTCAGATGGAAGTTCTGAAGGTTGATGAACTCAGTGGAAAGATTAATGGCGTGTCCAAGTCATTCAAGCTTGACAGGCAGAGTACGGGAGACAGCAGGCAGGAAAGGCCTGCCTCTCCCTGTTTAAACAGGATAATGACGCAGATGGGGAGCCTGACCCCCCTGAACCCAGTGTTCACAACTACTGAGCAAACAGGAAAGCCAAGAGGAACTGGCCATCCCAGCAAGATGAAACACAATGGTCTCTTTACAGGGCTTACTCTCTCGTTGGTGTGGCAATCTGCATCTGGCAGTAGGTAACAGAGCACCATTCATGCATATACTTTGCCAGAACATTTTGGTTCTGCTGTTCCTGGTTCCCAGGCTGTGTCTGAGGAGAGGGAACAAAATACTGCACAGTGGGCCACGAAGGGCCAGTCCAGAGACAGGTCACATGGCAACTTCTCCCACACCATGTCCCTCTAGGGCCTGTCCACCTTTTTATTTTTCCTACTGCTATCAAAATGTCAAGAAAGCTTCTTACCCCTATTGCCAGGGAAATTATCTGCTGTTCCCAACTGAGAGAGGTGTGACGTATAATTTCCATG